CTGACAAAAAGCTAGATTGCAATATTGAAAAATAACAACAGATTGGACTATATTAATTTCAACCTCTTTTGGTCATACCATTAAGTAATCGCTGGACTACAGGGAAGGAAGAACTGGTTATGTTAAAAGAACTGAAATTAAGCAGTCTTTATGAAATAAAGCATTATAAGAAATATTAAAAGCATACACAAGTTGAGAAAGATGTTCCACTGTCAAATCACTCAATGCTCCCTTTAACATGTACATGTGACCTTTATATGCCAAACATGGCAAATTTGTGAAAACTAGGCACAAATCTGAAACACTGGATTTATAAATAAAATTTGAATAAGTATTTTAAAATAATAAAGAGAATACAACTCCTAACGAGATCTCCACTTGACAGTGAAGACAGTTCCAACACAAAGCATATTTACACATACAGTTCAGTAGGTAAGTTTATTTACAATTCAGTATAGTACAGAAAGCACAGTTTTCATGCATATAATTAGTTTTAAAATATACTACATGCTGATAATCTATTACTACTGAAAACTATATTCCTCACTGAAGAAAAATTGAAGATAAATCGAAGATAAATCAAAATTGAGATAAAATAATTTAATCTGTTTTATATGGTTATATGAACTTAATTTGATTTCACTAATTTTTCCAAACAGACATTACAGACTGGAAAAAAAGGAGAAACATAACCTCCATTTTCAAAAAGGGAAGGAAAGAAGACCCAGGGAACTATAGGTCAGTCAGTCTCACCTCTGTGCCCAGCAAGATCATGGAGCAGATCCTCCTGAAGGCTCTGCTAAGGCACATGGAAAACAAAGGGTGATTTGTGACAGCCAACATGGCTTCACCAAGGGCAAATCCTGCCTGACTAATTTGGTGGCCTTATACAATGGGGTCACGGCATCAGTGAACAAAGGAAGAGCAACCAACGTCATTGACCTGGACCTGTGCAAAGCCTTCGACACCGTCCCACACGACATCCTGGTATCAAAAATGGAAGAGTATGGATTTGATGGATGGACCACTCGATGTGTGGCTGGGTGGTCCCACTCAGAGAGTGGCGATCAACGGCTCAATGTCCAAATGGAGACCAGTCACAAGTGGTGCTCCCCAAGGGTTGTTACTGGGACCGGTGCTGTTTCATATCTTTGTCAGTGACATGGACAGTGGGATCAAGTGCACCCTCAGCAAGTTTGCTGACAACACCAAGCTGCGTGGTGTGGTTGACATGCTAGAGGGAAGGGATGCCATCCAGAGGGACCTTGACAGGCTTGAGAGGTGGGCCCATGCCAACCTCATGAAGCTCAACAAGGCCAAGTGCAAGGTCCTGCACCTGGGTCAGGGCAATCCCAAGCACAAATACAGGTTGGGTGGAGAATAGATTGAGAACAGCCTTGAGGAGAAGGACCTGGAGGTGTTGTTTGATGAAAAGCTCAAACATGAGCTGGCAATGTGCGCTTCCAGCCCAAAAAGCCAACTGCATCCTGGGCTGCATCAAAAGAAGCATGGCCAGCAGGTTGAGGAAGGTGATTTTCCCCCTGTACTCTGCTCTTGTGAGACCCCACCTGGATTACTGTGTCCAGTTCTGGAGCCCTCAACACAGGAAGGACATGGAGCTCCTGGAGCAAGTCCAGAGGAGGGCCACGAAGCTGATCCAAGGGCTAGAGCACCTCTGCTATGAAGACAGTCTGAGAGAGTTGGGGTTGTTCAGCCTGGAGAAGAGAAGGCTCCAGGGAGTCTTTATAGCAGCCTTCCAGTACCTGAAGGGACTACAGGGAAGCTCGAGAGGGACTTTTTACAAGGGCATGTAGTGATTGGACAAGAGGTAATAGTTTTAAGTTGAAATAGGGTAGATTTTTATTAAACGTTAGGAAGAAATTATTTAGTGTGAGGGTGGTGAGACACTGGAAAGGTTGCCCAGAGAAGTTGTGGAAGCCCCCTTCCTGGGAATGTTCAAGGGCAGGTTGGACAGGGCTTTGAGAAACCTGGTCTAGTGGAAGGTGTCCCTGCCGATGCAAGGGGGTTGAAATTAGATGATCCCTAAGGTCCCTTCTAATCCTAACCATTCTATGATTATACTGAAATTTTCAGATAATCATAGTATTGACAATAATTCTCTGCATTAACTGCAGACTATTAAAATTAATAGCATGCATTTGCTATATCCAAACTCTGTTATCCTAATAATAAAAAATGTAAAGTAATCTATGTTATTCTCTAAGAGTTATAGTGTTCACAACATTCATACCTTGATGTCTTTAAGTCTGCATACATGCTGATGGACAGTAACTCTGAATCAATTACAATAACATCTTGAATGTTGCCAATGTTGTTATGTTGGCATTCTAAGAATGCCTACAGGGTAAAGAGAGTAAATGAAGAAAGTAAAATCACTCAAAGAATTCAAGTTATTCACTAAGAAGATACAGTAATGCACAAGTAGTCTGTAATGTGACTTCTCACTCTCCCTTCATATATTAGTTTCACCAAAACACACTATTAAGTCAAGCCCATAGAACCCACAAAATAAAACAAAGGAAAATAATGAAAGACAAACAGAGCTAACTGAGATAAAGTCTCCTGTGTATTTGGATTTCAAATCAGCAGGCTTATAGGTATTCATCTTTACCTACCATATGAATAGAAGTCTTTGTGCAGAGCAGCGTGTAGGCCTCCAAGTTCAGTATCATGCCAAGTCAATAAAGCAAATATTTGGTCCTTGAACTAATACTGAGCTAACCTGTGCTCAGCATAATCAAATGAGTTCAATGGAAAACAAAGACAGATGGGTGACACAATCAACTGACCTCCCAGAGCAGTTTGGTAATTGAGGGTTATTTTCTATTCTAACCTACGTACTGCCTAGAGGCACAACATAGGATCAGCAATAACAAACCCTATGTTACTAAAGACTTCTATCATAGGAAAAATCTTCCTCAACTTTGAACAGATGAAAACCTGACTTACATCAATGGAGCAACATAAAATATACTTTATTATTTAGCCCAAATAACCCAAAATATTTATCTAAAAGTCTTAGGGTTTTGGCTGTATTCTGAAGTTATTGTAAACAACAACAAGTCACTAAGTCATAATATTAGCTACAGGAACACACAGCACAATAAAAGCTTTCAGTTCAGTTGTACCAGTTTAGGCCTTCTCCCCCCCCACTCAGTAGGACAGACATTCCCCACTTGCTGATCCCAGATGCATTTGAACAGATGCTCAATTTGTTTATTTGAGGCTAACCTATTTTCAGGGTTGTCTCTAGAAATATCACATTTATTGTTATTATGCTATATAATGCTTATTATTAACAATAACTTATTTTAACAGTTTAAGAAAAACAGCCATTTTTTGTGTGTGCGCTAGCTGTAACTTTGTCCATGAATCAAAGCAAATGGCTGACCCACAGGGGCAGCAGCAGTTTTACTTCACAGGAAGATTAAACTGCAAATCTAAACTGTTAATATCAGCTCAAAGGGACACCAAGACAATATTTAAAGTTTAAGATATCTACAAAAGATTAAAATTTTTTAAAAAAGATAATCTATTAATCGCTTAAATTTTTATTATTGTTTTCAGTAAAAAAATATGGTTTTATTAGCTTGCAAAACTATTTCAATTTTTAAGACAACCATCTGCAAGAAAAACCCAATATCCTCACTGGGACTCACATTTGAAATGTTAAAGTTTGATATATTACAAATTCACATCCTAAATTAGTTGGGTTTTTTTAATAATTCCTAAAGTCCCTAATCATATTGCAATCCAAATGCTTTTCAGGACAAATGCAATCCTTAAATTAGAATCAGCATGTTTTATGGAAAACAAAACGCAATTATAAAGAATTTTGCCACTAGGTGGCGAAGAGCATGTAAAATCCATAGAGCCAGCACCCTAGCTAGAAAATCACTCGGAGTTTTTTTAACACGTTTTGCAATTCCCCTCTGACTCATCAGCAACTGATGATTCAAAGCTCCATTTCTGTACTGCACTCTTTAATATTTAACCGGTTTTTTGGTGAGGTTTGCAGTTACCAATTGCACCAAAAAATAACATGATGTCAAGTTGTATACATGGAATTTCAGAGAAATTTTATAGAAAATCAAGTGAGATCTGAATCTCCCTCAGGCAACTTCACCTTTTAAAGTATTGTAGCATAGCAATATCTACATGCTTCACAAGTAGGAGAGACCGGCTTTACAGATAACTGCCTTATGCTTTGACCACACCTTTCCTATAATTTGTAGTTTTCTATTCTAAATAAATTAAGCCCTGGTAAATACTCACATAGAAGGCCACAAAAACCTGAAGTCCTGCAGGAAACGGTGTCAATGATTCAGTAGGTGCCACTGTTTCTCTTGAACCAAAGACCCAATGAGATACTAACTTTTGTAAAAACTTAGAACAAAGGCCTTAACAGTTTAGAGTTATCAGACATTAGTACACTGAAGCACAGCAGAAGCTGTGCTTTATTTGAAGTGGAAATTTTATATAGTCTAAAGACATGGGTTTTCTAAAATTAAGAGATCTTTACCATAGCCTAATCACTGTTTCTAAAACAAATTTTAGATCAAGATAATTACTGGCCCTATAGCACTGCCACATAGGTGACTGCATATGTTTTCTGCAGTTGTACTAATTAGCCAGCAAGCCGCCTACTGCCAGACTGAGTCAACTCGGCAGGGCAACTCAGAATTACGAAACGAGCTACGTCCACCTTCCGGGCCGGCTCTCAGCATCGCAACAGGGAGAAGCCGTAGAGGAAACAACGCAGATTTCTTCACCACTCCCGATAGCCTCAGTTAGCAGCGGCCTACCAGAAGACCGGGCCAACCCCGATACTCGCCCAACAGCGCTGAGAACAGCTCGAATAAGCAGAAGGTGCTTTGTCATCGCGAAGGGCCCTCACCCTCCAGCGTGGGAGGCAGAAACCCCAGGCCAGGGCTCTTCCCCCTGGCTACGCTCCCCACCCACGGCTTCCAACCCCTCACCTCCTGGATGCTGCTGGTCTCAAGCACAGCGAACTCTTCTTTCTCCTTGGGAGTCTTCACCGTGATTTTGATGATCCGCGGCTCGGCAGCAGCGAAGCCCCGAGTGGAGGACTCAGAGGAGCCCTGAGCCCCCGCGGAGCTCTCGGCGCTCTCCGACATGACGGGCGGAGTCTGACTCGCTCCAACCGCACGGTTTCAGACAAGTCCTCCACGCCACAGCCTCACGCCCAAAGCGGCGAACAGAAACAACCCAACTCACCCGTGGCGCTCACTGATGACGCCCCGAACCGGGGAAGTTACTAGAAAGGGGGAGCTGTCTGCCCGGGCGTGGGTTCGCCTTCAGCACGCTTGCGCGCTAGGGGCGGTGGTTTGGAGATTTCAAATCTTAAAAAGAGAGTGCCAAATAGTTTCCTAAACTGACATAAGGAAGTTTAAAATTTATTTTCAGACATAGTCAAGTGGCTTCAGTGCTCTGAAGTACCAAGTAAATTATTAGTTTTACAATATTAAAGTGTTTATGTCCTACACATAATTAAACTATTACTTACATATAATATAATGCACGATGATATTGTATGAAGTAACAAAGCCGTGCCATGACCTGTATGACTTTCATGTTAAAAAGAGAGGGAGAAAAAGTATATACAGCTTTTGAACCTATGTAAAGAGAGATCATTAAAATGCCTTTTGCTTCCAGCACGAAAGCCCCGAGTGGAGGACTCAGAGGAGCCCTGAGCCCCCGCGGAGCTCTCGGCGCTCTCCGACATGACGGGCGGAGTCTGACTCGCTCCAACCGCACGGTTTCAGACAAGTCCTCCACGCCACAGCCTCACGCCCAAAGCGGCGAACAGAAACAACCCAACTCACCCGTGGCGCTCACTGATGACGCCCCGAACCGGGGAAGTTACTAGAAAGGGGGAGCTGTCTGCCCGGGCGTGGGTTCGCCTTCAGCACGCTTGCGCGCTAGGGGCGGTGGTTTGGAGATTTCAAATCTTAAAAAGAGAGTGCCAAATAGTTTCCTAAACTGACATAAGGAAGTTTAAAATTTATTTTCAGACATAGTCAAGTGGCTTCAGTGCTCTGAAGTACCAAGTAAATTATTAGTTTTACAATATTAAAGTGTTTATGTCCTACACATAATTAAACTATTACTTACATATAATATAATGCACGATGATATTGTATGAAGTAACAAAGCCGTGCCATGACCTGTGTGATTTTCATGTTAAAAAGAGAGGGAGAAAAAGTATATACAGCTTTTGAACCTATGTAAAGAGAGATCATTAAAATGCCTTTTGCTTCCAGGTTACTTGTTTAGCATCAACCCAAGGATAAAACCTAAGATCTCAAATTAGAACCTTTTACTGCTTTAAAAAGAGAATTACTATGGAAGCATTCCATACCTGGGAATCAGATTTTCCTCGAACTTGGACAAAAAAAAGAACACAAAAAAACCCACCTATACCACCCCTCCCCCATCCCCCCTTTAATCTGTACTCAAATTTAATATCACCAAATTAGATCTTTTCCCAAAACATTAGTTATTTTCCTATCCATCAGATAGGAAATTCCAGATTCCTATCCCTATTTTAGTATCAAATATATGGATGGCTTTGAATTCTAGAGTCAAATGTACTTTCTCCCTTGTCCTTAAGTTATCCTGGGATTACTTTTTCCTACAATAGTCTGATTCATCAAGTGATTTGTTGGCTTGGTCTGCTATTGGAATAGTTTCTCAGAAACTATTTAAATTGGTGCAGTAAATTTCTTCTAAACCAATTAAAAACCTGTTAAAATGTTTTAAAACTGGAATGTCGGTGCGGAGGTGTCCAGCGAGGGAAG